ATTGCATACTTACTAACAACAAACCTAAATTGTTCAACACTCTCAAAAATCAGCCCCAACTCCTAGGTTATTTTCTTGACAGTTGGATCAAATATCAGGGCTTTCTTCCTTCTCTTGGCAGCCATTTTCTCCTTATGTTCTTCATCAAATTCATCTTCAGCATCTGAAGGAAAACTTTCAACATCTGAAGACCCAAAGTAAGGCTCATCTGTCCCTACTAAGCCTGTGTACCCATCTTGCTTGCTACCAGTTCTAATTCATCAAAACCAATATCAACTCCTGCATCACCTAGGTTAATATCACCTCTATCTTTTGGCCTTTCACTCCTTTTCCTCCTATACTTCCTCAGTTCATCCCTACACTCTACAAATTCTTCATGAACATCAGATCCATAATCCTTATCATCAGGAACATGTAAATCTACTCCATCACTCTCATCATTATCACTATTGTCAACGTCTGAATCATTCTCATTGTCATCCTCACCTTCACTATTATCAAAGTCTGATTCACTATCTACTCCACTCTCTTGTTCTCTTGAAGGTGCAGGGGCAGGAGCAGGTTTAGGAGAAGGAGAAGGGGAAGGGGTAGGTTCATGAGCAGGTGCATATTCAGATTCAGATTCACTATCTTCCTCTTCTTCTAAGACAGTTGTGCTCTTAAAAGCTCTACTATTACACCCACCAACCCCTTTACTAGCCTTATTTATGTCAACAACACATAAAGGGGCAGCATGAGTCGTATAAATATCTAAGGTATCCCCATCTTCCAATTCATTACAAATGTCTAAAATATCCTTGTCTGTTAGAATATTTACCAATTTATCTGTCCTATCCATTGGAGAATATACAACTCAGCCACATTTTGAAAGTCATATATCCTAGTGTAGTTCATTAGTTCAATAAGAGACAGTAAATCCACATCTACATCTAAAGTCAATATTTGACTACCACCTACATAACGAGCAAAGTTACCAGGAACTAATACCCCATCATGGTACCACATGAGGGTAATGATTTTAAAAGACATTATCTGCAAACAAATAAGGGACAAATAAATGGACTTTTCACATGCAATAATTGAAAATAAAGAACTACAGATGAAATATAAAAGTGGAGACAAAGACAAGAGCATATCACATTGTTCAAAGCAATGGTATTACAATAATCAGTTAAACCCTAACTTTACACACGGTTTGCAAACACAAGACAAATCTCTTTTATAAAAAAACTATTGGTAAAGGCAACAAGACGACAACTTCACAGTGTTATCGATAATGACAAAAGATTCCCCTTTTAAAAAATCCGATAACCCTAAGCAAAATAGAAGAAATTTCAAAAAAACCTTAGATTCAACCCACCCACTACTAAAATAAACGGGTAATGCAAGGAGAAGAAAATTACTAACCTATTAACCGCATAAATCCACCGGAAATCCACCATGAAAGCGTAGCTTGAGATGGTCGCCGGAATCGCCTTTACAGTAGCTCCTTCTAGATGTATCGGATTTTGAGTACTGACTTGGGTAAGTTTGGTTTTAACGCTTTTAGCTTGTGGGTCGGGTAGGGTCAGTTAGGGTCGAGTATGGTCGGGTTAGTTATTATAAGGTAATGGGTTAAAATTATGTAAAGTCAAATGCGTGACATACACGGATGTCTTATTAATAGGATCTGGTCAAAGGAGGTGGGTACTAGATACACTTTAGAAAGGTTTCTTGTGTAAGGTTATTATCGTCCACAAAAAGTGTGTAAGAGGGATTTGGGCCAAAGGTTGGGTGGTAAACTATGTATTAAGCCGCAGAGGAACTGTCTACATCAGTATTATGAATGCCAACTGAACCAAATATCTTCGGTTGATGAGTTCAACTTCAACCAATGGAGTTGCATTAAGTTTTCTGAATCCACCGAAGGTCTATTATATCAAAATCAAATGCTTACTTATGAGTTGACATAGCCATGGAACATTTATTAAGAGCTATTCATAACCAAACCAGCAACGAAATGATTAGCTCAAGGTTAATATGTAGGTGCAATTCAGATTTTCTAAAAAGGATCAATAACAATTTCCTTTTATTTGCGTTTTATATACCGGTGATTGATTACCGAACAAAAAATTGAATTGTTGAAAAATGTTTTTAGAATTCGATTATATTTATATGTAATAATATTTATATGGCTATAAGAATACGTAACTATGTAATGTTTAAATAAAAAAAAATCAAATACATGCGTCGTTTTTTGTAGTACAATCTAAAGAGAAGAGAGTATCAAAAGCAAGATGAAAAGGTAGGCTCCCGAAACTTATCTAGGTAACTATTTATTTTCTTCTAGCACCAGTAGTATCTAACTATGATTTTTTTGGGAGAGAATAAGGAACAGATCACAGACAATATCAATAGTTATATTGAGGTGCAAATAATATTTCCTGCGAGAGGGAACAAGACATTGACTTATTATCTTCTTCATTCTATCCTCCAGCTTTTAGATTAAAGCTTTTTTGAGGCATGACAATACCAAGTAAGACCACATGCCTAAATTGTTTGGTTGCTATAGTTGGACATTCTTTCTTATCAATGAGTTGAATATAAATAATCATACTCAGAGTTTAATAAGACCATCCCAAGTTAAAATCATGTAAAACCCAATCAAAATGAACAATTTATTGGTCTCCTTATAGTTGTATCAGTAATCTAACGAGAACAAAAGCTATCATCAAATGTTATACATAATCAGCTTTTAATACTACATAAGCATTACCTGAATCATCATTATGTTGAATCTCGGTGCTACCAACAGAACTATTCGGCTTATTAGATTGACCATCATGTTCTTAGGCTTCAGACTAGTTCTGATTATCCATCAACTCCTCAATATATGGTTGGGCTCTAGAGTAGTTTTGACCATCCATCAATTGCTCAATATAAGGCTACACATCTTCATCATCATCTTGTTCAATTACCAATGGATTGTGATCTCTAATTTGCATAGTTCCTTTCCCAAAATAAAAAAATTATCTAGCTGCATTAAGTTATACTATTACCGAATTAACTCCAACCAATCAGCAGGTCACAAATGATATGTGATACATAAGAAAACAAAAATTAAGTTAATATCTGCATTACTGACTTACAATATGTGAACTTAACATAAACTAACTTATCATTCCAGTTTGGAGAATTTAATATTTAGTCGAATAGAGCTAAAACTGATCATTTCATTTTTTTAACTAGTAGCAGATCTTAAAAGACATTCTCCTAGCATATCAACCATTAAGTAACACTTTTGTGATTTAATTTCTATATGAGAATCTGAGTTACCACATCCCTTACTATAAAGGATCAAAACAATAAGCATTTTATGGATTATGTTCATGTATTGTTAAGGATCATACATCTATTTTCATGATTCTTAAAGTGCAAAATGCGAAACTAGAACTAACAACATTTTTAGAAGAAAATCCAAATTACAAATATATCTGGACAAAAATTAACATAGTTGAATCAATGGAATATTAACACAAATAGATAGAAAGCTAACAAAGTGAATAATTGTAACGACCCGACCGGTCGTGTTGAGCTCTAGCGCGTCGTTCGGTGGTTTGAGGCCATGAGCAGCTTCACTTCAGGTATTATGGCTGGTACGCGTGGTCAGAATTGAATTTCGGGAAGTTCAGAGTTGAATTGGAGAGAAATTCTCATTTCGAAAGCTTTAAGTTGAAAGAATTGATTAAGATCGGATTTTAGAGTAAACGGCCTTGAAATAGAGATTTGAAGGTTCCAACATGTTCATATGATGATTTTGAACTTGGACGTATGTCCGGATCAGGTTTTGGATGACCCGGGAGTGTTTTGGCGCCTACTGTGGAAGTTACCATTTGGGAAGAATTTCATAAGTTTGAGTTGAATTGCATTTCAACGTTATCCATGTCTGTTTGGGATTCCAAGTATGGGAATAGCTCCGTATAGTGATTCTGGCATCGGGAGCGCGTCCGGAAGTGAATTTGGAGGTCCGTAGGTCATTTTGGGTTCACTTGGCGAAAGTTAGAAATTTGAATATTTTTGAGAAGTTTGACCGGGGTAGACTTTTTGATATCGAGGTCAGATTCCGATTGCGGAAGTTGGAGTAAGTCCGTAATGTCGAATGTGACTTGTGTAAAATTTAAGGTTAATCAGACATGATTTGATAGGTTTCGACATCGAATGTAGAAGTTTGAAGTTCAAAAGTTCATTAAGCTCGAATTGGGGTGTGATTCGTGATTTCGACATTGTTTGATGTGATTTAAGCCCTCGAGCAGGTCCTTGTTATGTTTTGGGGAGGGTTGGTATGATTGGACGGGGTCTCGAGGGGCCTCAGATGTGTTTCGGGATGGTTTCAGATTATTTCAGGTTGTTTTGGACTGTTGTTGCTGGTTCTGGTTTCCTTCTTCGTGAATGTGAAGGGAGTCCCGCATTAACGAAGGAGAATTTTGAGGCTGCTGAGTTTTGGTCTTCGCGAACGCGATGGGGAGGTCACGAATGCGAAGGGATTGCCTAAGGGACCTACACGAACGCGAAGGTTCAACCGCAAACGTGTAGAAGGAAAGGGGGAGCTGGGCCTGGAGCCATTTAGCCTTCACAAATGCGAAGAAGAGGAGTCTAGAGGCTTCACGAATGTGGGGCATTGATCGTGAACGTGAAGAAGGGCAGACCTGCGCTGGGCAGAATGTTTTAAAAGCGGGGTTTGAGTTCATTTCACCCATTATTAACATGGCTTGGTCGGTTTTGAAGCTTTTGAAGAGGGGATTTCATCATCTATCGTGAGGTAAGTGATTTCTACTAGTTGTGAGTTAAATACAAGGTTTATATATGGATTTAGACATGAAAAGTAGTAGAAATTGTGCGGTTTTGGTAGAAAACCTAGAATTTGGTATTTAGGATTTTGATCACGAATTTAGGCATGGAATTGAGAATAAATCATATATTTGAGTTCGTGGGGTTATGAGTAAAGTTTATATTCGAAACTTTTTGGAATCCAGGCATGTGGGCCCGAGGGTGATTTTTATCGATCTTTCAAGCGGAGTTGGGATTTGTTGCAAATAGGATTACAATGAGTATTTGAGTACATATTTATGGGTCTGCACAATTATTGACTAGTTGTGGAGTGTTAGGCATCGGTATGAGTCATCGGAAGGGCTTAGGAGCCGGTTATGGAGCTTCGGAGCAAGGTAAGTCTCCTTTCTAACCTTGTAAGAGGGAATTAACCCCATAGGTGAAATGATTCAATATGTTCTTCTATTTGAGGGGGCTACGTACGCACCAGGTGATGAGCGTTTGTGCATAGCTACTATTATAATTAAGTCCGGATAGTCTAAAACCCAAAAGCATGCTATACTTGCAATATCTGTAATCTTATTGTCAATTTAAATTGCTTAAATCATATCGAATAGGTAAATGAATTTCTACAAGGTTAAATTTAATTTTCTTGATCGTTAAAAGAGGATTGACATTTCCTTGGAGGAATGCTCCTTAATAAATTCTTGATTTACTATTTGATTGTGTTTTCCTTTTCTGAAATAGGCCAAACGCCTCAGTAGATTAAATAGATGCATCTATGATTCGCGTTGTTCGACCCTCCGACACTGCACAATTTAATATTATGTTGGATTAGGCCGTACGGCCTCGGCATGATTTTCACATGACTTAATTGATTGTTTTGGAATTATTAATTATTGGTATGGCCTCCTTGGCCTTTGCAATTGCCTTACAAAAATCCATAATTTATCATATTATCAGTATATTATTGTTGGCCATAGTAAGTGTCAGAGTCGATCTTTCATCACTACTTCTTCAAGATTAGACTGG